ATTGTTTTGCTTTAACAATCATGAAGACTGGTTTTCTAAATTTTTGGCTTTTGAATTATCCATCCGTAGGCATTTTGAACGTTATACCGAATTGGCACTTAGATCCAATAGATTTCTGCCCTACAAAGAACTTGATCATTCAAAGGCATTTTTCAACTTGTCCAATAATAATCTAAAGTTTTCTTCTATCAATTTAAGCTGGGTCTTCAAGCTCAGTAGCGAATTTATCTATCTTAGTTACTCTCCTCTAAGAGATGGTTCTGTTGAGCGCTGCTCACTGTATAACTCCTGCGCGAGGGAAGACCTCTTCCATTTATTGGCTGCGTGTCCCATTCTCTCGGAGTTTCGAGTTCTCTTTTTGAGAAATACTAGAGTTTTGAGACGTCGTTTTATCGCAAAACTTAATTCCCCAGATTATTCTCAGAGCAGTTTAATTTTTCATTTTACATTGAGAAGCACTAACAGTTTTAATCTCTAATTTAATTAATTTTTATTATCTTTGTATGTGCATATTAACTTCTACTCAAGTACTCAGTAGACCACCACCTCCAGGTGACGGTTAATGCTGTTTAAGAACTGTTTTTATTTTAATTTCAGTTATACTCCCTTAAGTATATAAATGTATTTTCTTTTTGTAAATAAAGTTCTTTTTTCATTCTCATATAGCGTAGTGGCTGATATGAGAATTGTGCTTGAGCACGGCGGCGAATATTCCGTAGGAAAGTTTTACTATTTATAGTAATGATATTTTCAAGTCCCTAGACGAGGCTCTTTGATAGCTATCCAACTGTTCCAAAAAGAACTCTATGTGGAACCACGGCGACAACGGGCAGTATAATGTGGTTGAGACTCGAGACCCCGAAACGGCTCACCTCGTGTTCTCTTCCACGGCCCTGTTTCTCAATCCGAATTCCTTCATTCTATCCTGTGACCCCTCCTAACCCTTGGTTACAAGGGGGGTATCCGGGCACAAAATAATGGTGACAATTGGGCGTGACAACCTCTCTAAAGCACAAGCTGTCTTATGTCGGCCTCAGGGTCGGCAGGGGCGGCGGGTGCCTTAGCAGAGTCACACGAGGGCCAGTGCACCAGATCCTGTCTACAAAGATGGGGGAGGGTTGTATGGCCATCTGTACCACGGGGTGACTCAACGTTTCAAAAACCAGCCCAGAGTCACATTGGGATGGACTCGTGGTGGCTTGTGGTGACGCCCCTGGCGGGAACTTAGACAGAGGCTGTCTTCTATCTGGGACCTTTCGTGAAGCGTGCGTATGGCCAATGTATTACCCCCCGTTCCTCACGGGAGACGTTGCGACCGGACGACAGCATGTAAGCGTTGAGGACGTCATGATCATGCTACAGTCCCTCGAATGCGTAAGTAAGCGATTGGAAAAGGGTAGTGATATCGGCGGTCTTTGACTCGAGTATGCTTTGCATTGTTGTGCGTATGACCGGCGTGGTACCCTTGGGGAAGCGAAGGATCGGACCACCTAGGCTAGACCTATGGCGTCCCTCGATTACGTGCAGCAGGTGTAGGCTGAGCTCGATAAGAGACCTTTTACCGTCGACAGTGCTCATCTAGGGGGTGGGTAGCAATCCCACTTTAATCCGAAACCGCTGTCGGGGCGTTCCCGAAAGTTTCTACGCTAGAGGAGCCTCTACACTCAGAGAGATAGAGTTGTCTTCTCTATCTTGGGAGTACGCGAGGGGGGGGACGGACTGATGTATTTCGGCCCGATGTATTTCTGATGTATTTAGCCCCTCGCGTGCGGCGTATGACCCGACGCACAATGCGGGCCCGACCATTCGGAGTGGACAAGCGGAGAGCGTGGCTACCGACCCTTAGGGGCCGGGACACCACTACACTAATGCTGCGGCGGTACCACTTTTCCGTCGTATGCAGAGGTGCGTCAGCTCTCATCTTGAGAATCAAAACGTCCGCATAGGCTAGGTGCGGACGTTAAAGATCCTCTTGTCTTGTTGACGATGAGTAATCGGAAACCCAAAAAGAAACTTCATATAAATGGGAAGATCAATTGATCTGAGCAAATATCAAAATATAAGTAAAATCTGTAAAATTGAAACTTAAATTTGTACAAAAAATCATTGAACCATCTAAAGAGGAATTGTTTTAGTTCTTTCGAATTTCAAATACCTTTTGAAGTCAACAGGAGATAATGTATTAATACTATGACTAACTTTTTCTTTATGGAGTTTTCACCCCACCTCCCACCGCGTACATTAACCCTGACAAAGTACATAATTTTAAACGAAAATAAAATAAAAACTCCCAGCCGAAGATAGCTGCCGGTTGCAACTTATTGTTAGATCAACTTAGGGCTGAAAAATTGCTTCGAGTTTACTGAAATCTTGAAGATATTTATTTGTATGAGATACCATCCCTTATTGATTGCCCATTTATCTTCGAAAGGTTTACATATTTTGTATGTGTTTTTGAATGAATGCTCAGTGGTCGGTCACTTTTATTTTTTGAAAACATCGTTAGTTCACAAACACTATGCGAGAAAGAAGACATTTATCTAAGCATAACAATGACGGGGGAAAAGGGAAATAGTGACTTAAATCACATTGAAAAATAATACTACATTTTTTTATTGCATTGATATTCTAATTGCTATTGTACTAATATTTAACGGTAATTTGGCTTGAAACAAAAAGGGTCATGATTTTCTGCAGATTAATTGATGTATTGATAATGTATCGACTAAATTTAGACTGCTACATCACAAAAATATACCAGCATTTTCTAAACAACATTTAATTAAAGCATTGTAATTATTAAGTTATTAACTAGTAGTAAACACTGTGAAACCAGCATTAATTTTGTTTATTCCTTTAAAAATATTATTCATGTTTTAACCCATTGTTTCCTTTTAGTTAAAATGTTAAACCAAAATATCAGCTATATTTAGCATAATTCGAATTTTATTATATTAAAACCTATTTTAATCTATTATCTATCTATTCTAATATTTACATGAAAAGTTATAGTGCAGTTTTTCTGAAAGTTTTGCAAGTTCATAAACTGTCTTGAGCAGATTTTAGTGAATTGATTTGCAATCATTAGTTAAAAATAATTATTTACTAAATCTTGAAATATACGAAATAATTTGATATCAGAACACAGATTGTTCGTCAAAATGCTTTTGTGTAAAATTAATATGAAAAACATTTTCCTCATTTCTAAAAATATAACGTAATCTCGTTATGACGAAAGTTGTAATTTGCCTCGTAACGATTATTTTAAAAATAACTCAAGATCTGGTTGTGAATAAAATGTTTTATTTGCTTTACTAATCAAGTAATATGTTTCTAAATAAACAATATATTTTTGTTAAGACAGAGTAAAATTCGAACTAAAAACAGTACAATGACAATTTTTAACAACAAGAAACGAAAAGATTTGTATAACTTTCTCATTAACGTACAAAACGTGATTTTTTCTTTTTATTGTTTGTTATAAAAAGCGTTTCTCATTGTTTATAAGGAGAAATTGAAAAGGTGCAGCTTAGGCAGCTTTCTAACTTTAACCAATCCTGAAAAAATTCCAGTTTCTAGGAAAAAAGGCGCTTTCATTCTAAGCCATTACAAAACGTTTTCCCTGAAATACCGCCTTAGTTGAAGGTTTAAACCCTTTTATATTATTTGTTATCCCGAGGCGAAAACACCGAGATCCCACTCAGCCCAGGATTTGCCGAGTAAGACATAAATCTTGCTTTTATCTCTAGGTAAAGGAGCAGAACGTAGCTAATCGTGCGTGATTTATTTGCTATTTAGTTCTAGGAAATTAGCTGACCGTCTTAATTTAAACTGGGCCCGAGTCCTCTGTGTGTTTCTTGAAAGTGGGCTCTGAGATTTCCATGTGACTTCACCCCGTGTCACCTTGTGTGTGCACTATTTTGTTGAGTTCACGCACATCATTTGTCTTCTTTAACTTAACAGTTAATGCTTTACACATGTAATCGATTTCAAGCCAAAAAACACGAAAAGTAGCAAATGTTTAAACAAATTATAACAAAATAACAACTGCAACATAATATCATCATAATAACTGATGGACAGCATTTTTTCGTTCTTGCTTACCCATACCCTTTTTGTGTATTTATTTGTATAAAAATGTATTTATTAGTCTGTAGAAATTTGTTACATGCAATTCACCCAAAACGTCTTTAATAGGTATAAATTTTTTTCATGATGTCACCATTTGAATCTATGTGTGGTGATTAGTGACCGTCAGTCGCTGATTATTCAGAAATCGTGAGATGCGGTCTGGTGTGATGTAGGTTTCAAAAAAACATTTTCTTTATCAATGTTTCGATCTTTATTGAGATCATCTTCAGGGTCTGGAAAATCAAAGTATCTGTACTCACTCAAAGTGTTTGTTTTCTGTGAGATGTGTCATTATTGTGTGTCGTGATGAGAGTGGCAGTGAGATATTCACATATCTACAGAGAAAACAAACACTTTGATTGAGTCTAAAATTTCTAGTATTGTATAAATTCAATTTTTCACAACCTACATGTATTTGTATAATTTAAACAATGTTTATAAATCCCAGGCTCTGAAGATGATCTCAATAAAGATCGAAACGTTGGCACGACAAAGAAAATGTTTTTCTGAAACCTACATCACACCAGACCACATCTCACGATTTCTGAATAATCATTTCAATGAATGACAAGTTAAAAAAATCTCTGATAATTATTTTTTGAAATTTCATATTTTCCTCTTTCCCCAATCCATCGATAATTTACTTCGCAAGTAAAAGGGACCCACTTAAAACGGAGACTCAGATATCGCCTGTGTAAACAGAGAAAAATGAGCGACCGGATGTATGAAAAAACGGCCCATTGCATATATAAATATTGAATGAAAAGGAAATGGGAAAGTTGAAAACCATCAGGGACGATTATAAAATCAAATTTTTTTCCCTCTCACTGAAACATTTTCTATGGGAGATTTTTCCATAAATTACTCACGTCTACGTTAACGCCGGGCAGCGGGAACACTTTAGTATGCGGATGTTCTTTCGGCACATAGCGGAAAAATTCAGCTCGGTCTTGGTACCACTTGACCGTGTACAACGGTTCTCCTTCCAGGTCGTATTTGCAAACCATGGTCGCACTCTGGCCTGGGGCGACGGCGACTGGTACGTGCAGAGAGACGTACCTCAATCCTCCGACACCTGCAACAAATTTTACAAAGTTACTCGGTTGTTTAAATGGATTTTAAGCACGCCAAACTTTCAGGATCGTGCTCGTGAAAAACATAAAAGTTTGCGTGTATAGGGTGTGGCAGTCTCCTCATTTTTCAAGTTTCCATAGGATCTCTATACAATTCCCGACACAAAAGGGAACTCAAGGATCTCTCGTACAATGGAAGGCCTGTGTTCTGGCCTTTTGTGATCGCGCTTAAAGCTATTATCCTTTAACGAGGGTGTCTGTACCTGTTTCTATCTCATTAAGTGAAATTTCGAAAGGACCTTTTATTCTCATAGTCGTTGACGAAAATTGTAAATAAAACAAGCTAATAATCATATGTTAATCAATTTGAATCGTTATTTAAACTGAGGATATTCAAAATAAAAAAATGGCTATCCTGAAAAATTAGCTAACAATTATAAATAAAATTTGTATCTTCATGAATTCATTATTAAAATTCATGTGCCTTTAAAATATCGACTTTGGTCATAAAACCGCAATTGAACACATAAGACGGACGTTAAAAGCAACTGAAATGTAATAGTTCAATTGTTTTTAAAGCACTGAGAATTATTCATAATTTCGATTTAAATATCTTTTAGATGATTAGTCGGAGATCGTGAGATGCGGTCAGGTGTGACGTAGGGTTTAGAAAAACTTTTTCTTTATCGTGCCAACGTTTCAATCTTTATTGAGATCATCTTTAGGGCCTGAGATTTACAAACATTGTTAACAATTAACAAATACATTTAGGATGTGGACAAGTGAATTTATACAATGCAAAAATATATTTTTTATATTCAATCAAAGTATTTTTACTCACTCAAACTGTTTGTCTTCTTGTGTAATTGTGCTATTCTTGCGTGTCGTGTTGAGAGTGCCAGTGAGATTTTTTTTCACTAATGATTACACGTTTCGATCTTTATTGAGATCATCTTCAGTGCCTGGGATTTATAAACATTGCTTCAATTTTACAAGTACATGTGGGATTAGAAAAAATGAATTTATACAATGCCTTGAAATTTGCGATAAAAAAAAGAATTTATAGAATGCTAGAAATTTGAGATAAAAAAATGAAATTATACAATGCTAGAAAATTTTAGATTAAGAAAAAATATACAATGCTAGAAATTTTTAGATTAAAAAAGTGAAATTTCGAATATAATTTTGTAGCATTGTATAAACTCAATTTTTTTAATCTAAAATTGTCTAGCTTTGTATAAATTAATTTTTTAAATCTACAATTTCTAGCATTGTATAAATTCATTTTTCACATCCTACATCTATTTGTTAAATGTAAACAATGTTTGTAAATTCCAGGCCCTGAAGATGATCTCAATAAAGATCGAAACGTTGGCACGGTAAAGAAAATGTTTTTCTGAAACCTATCACACCAGACCGCATATCACGATCTCCGAATAATCAATGACTAACGGTCACTAAACACGATACATATCTTGTTAATGTTATTCTACTATACAAGACCAACGATACGGTTTATTTTACAAGGTGTCTCGTAATATTACAATATAACTTGTTTACATAATGGAGGCGTGTGGAGTGAAAAATCTAAAACTTAAACGTTTTCAACCATTTTGGTACGCCTGCCCTCGCTGTTTTGGTATATCACCAAATATGGTGTATGGTTTTTGTTTTATCAGTGCATCATAAAGTGAAAAGCCGAAAGGCGCCTGACAGACCAAACCAGAGAGGATAGACAACCAAAGAAACTATTAACATTAAATTATTTGAACTAAATCATTTGTTGTTCTGTTATATTACATGTAATATAAATTAATGTTAATAATATTTTGGCTGTCTGCATAGTAAGGAGCAAGAATAATACTTCTTTTAACTTTTAGAGTACAACTATCTCCTAGAAGTTTTAAACCGGTTAAATGCAAAGCCATTTGGTAATAAATAAATCTTAAGGAGGATGTTGGCGATTTTAAGTTATTATGATTTCAACATTTTAACAGTAAACATGGAAATACATCACCAATCCATAGTTTCATACATGCAGACCCTGGATGATTACATTTCCCCTCTTCAACTTCCTCGTTAGTTCTTCTACACTCCTCTCACTTTTGTGTTTTCCTGACCTTTGAGCGGTTGTGCGTTTTGTTCAGAGCTTTTTTTCAGTCGTGCAAAGGTCGCAAAACTGAACCCCCTGGCTTTGATCTATTATAAAAATAACCTAAGGATGGAATGACAGATGGCCATGTGTTAGTGCGCAATCATCCCTCAAAGAGAAAAAATTAACCTTGTGATGCAAAACTACCCTGCGTGACGTGCCATTTACGTTTTTTAACCGTATATTTTCACGTTTTCTGACAAATATGCATATTCACGTTCTACGTGTTTCAAGTATTTCGTAATTAATTTGCCTTAGAAAATTGCTGATAAGATTATTTTATAATTCAGAGCGAAGTTTATTGGCATAGGAACAATTCAAGAATACTATCCGTCCTACCGGATTCATCGCAGCTTTATTTCCCATAAGAAATCGCAAAAATATTCCTGTACATGTTTTATAATTGTGGAGTTTAGAAACTACAGGGGTAGAAATTTTGCGTGTCGCTATGAGATACAGGAATGTGTTCTCCTCCTCAGAAGTCTTACGTTCGACATTTTGACATCATGTCAAAGCAGTGGAGACTAAGACAAATTGGCAGCAATCTGGGAAGTTTTTGATTAATTAGTCAATAAATGTACTCGTCTTTACGACATGAGTGCATAAACCACGATTGTTCAAAAGCTAAATCTATTTCAATAGCGATGCTAATTGATTCAGTATGTACGTAATTAATCTACGAAATAAAAATCGTAGTAAATCAGGATCTTGTATTGTGCGATGAAAAGACCTTCTGTAATATCGAAGTAGTCACCAACTTATGAAATTCATTTCATTTGTCGCCGAGAATCAAATAGATTACACGGCATTTGAAAAATGGCAAAAAGGAGGGAAAATTCAAAAGGTGTGGTTGAGTGGGAAGTTAGTGTCCGAGTGGATCGAGGTCACGATTGCTCAAGTGGCTAGAGCAGCGGCGTATTTAGCCGAAGATCTTGGGTTCGAATCCCGCTCGTGCCATTGACTTTTTTATCCCAATTAAAAACATTAATCAATTGTAGTAACCAACGTAGAATTAAACTTCTGTTGATTTGTATCATGCATAATATTCACCTCTTTAGGTCCTAATACGGTTCCTGACTGAAGAAGAATTCTAGCGGAATATAACAACAGACAGTTGGTATACATCCCCAAAAATCTTGTTTAGAATGCACAAAATATTATATATATAGGGAATTATGGGATTCTTTTACTACCTTCAAGTAGGTAACAAGTAACAATGAGCAAGGTAATATATACAAAATTAAAACCAAGTGTGGAAAAACACCCATTGGTACTACTCCAAACTTCTAAAATATTGTCTGTTTAATTGATACTTGTGTCACTTTCACTATCATCACCGACACTTCCTAGGAGATCTCGCGTCCATTGTCTCTTCAGGGGAGGGTTTGAGGGGATTCGTCGGGATGCCAGGTTTCTGATGCGCTGATTTACGGTGGTTGGGAGGTTTTTATGAAATTTACGGTAACGGGAACGGAATTCGTCTTGAACGAAAGGGATATGTAAGTCTGTATGTATAGTTAGGTTCGATACCTAAAATGGAGCATCTATTATTTTTTGTAGTTTTAAGGACTGGGCCGTTTGATTACGGTGTTGAAATGTTTGGCTGAACCCCACACTTCCGTAAGTCCATACCGGCTTAACTATGGTGTTGTAAGGTTTTTAATTTTGAGAGGTAAATTAGAACGTTTGGCAAGAAGAGCTGTATATCATGTCACAACCTACAGATGTTTCAGTCGTGTGTGAGGATTCCACGTTAGGCATTTGTCAATGTACGGACGATTGTCCGAGGGACAGCACCATGTCCACAGTTGGGAGGGGAATATTATTTAAGAAAACCGGAGGGGGGAGATATTTTTATGAATATTGAAGGTAAGTAATGTGGGTGGATTTGTCTGTGTCAAATTATATCAGTTTTTTTTTATATTTTTTTTACACCAAGTCTCTAGTAGTATGAGGTGTTGTTGGAGGTTTCGAGTGGAAATGATAAGGTCGGAGTTGATAGGGGGAATTGCTGGATAGTCTGCAAATGTGAATGTGGTGTTTTCAGGATGTGATGGGATGTTAGCTGTAATCACCTGGCATAGTGTGGGGGCCAGAACGCAACCCTGAGGAACACCAGCATGGATAGGGAAATATGCAGAAAGGGAAGGGCCTTCGATGACTTGGAACAATCGGTCAGTGAGGTAACTGTGTAGTATGAGATGGTCGGTGGATGGAAGGATACCCTTGAGCATGAACAGCAGACCCGGGTGCCATACTCGATCAAAAGCTTGGCTTGGCTTACTTCAAGAAAGGCCCCAGAACAGTACAGTCCCATCTCAAGGAACAAATAATGCCTACCACGGGGTGGTACTGTTGGACAGTTGAGTAACGGTTGCGAAAACCAAATTGATAGTCTAGGATTATGTTTTGAGAATTTAAAATCGCAAAAAAATTTTTCAATAGTTTTTTTTAAATTTTATCCAAAGTAGGTAGTAGACTTATTGGCCTGTATGAAGTAGTACAATGTGTTGGCTTTTTCGGCTTAGGGATCATTCGAAACGAGTGCTTCCAAGCTATAGGGAAGTAGGTTGTACGAAGAACAGAATTAAATAGGTATGTAATGAGTATGATGGCCTTATATTATATGTTTTATGTGATGTGATGATAATATATGTATGTTATTGATATTGAATTTGATTAATGATCTTAGCGTAGCTGCGACTGAGTTTACATGTGTCCGTTCTGTAATTGATGCTGTGTTTATCATTACAGATGTAAACTCAGTAGCAGCTACGCTAAGATCATAAATCAAATTCAATATCAATAACATACATATATTATCATCACATCACACAAAACATATAATAT